CAATGAGATGTAAATTGCCTTTTTGTATTTATGGTTCCCATAAAGTTTTGTTGAAATCAATAAAGCAGTTGCAAAGAAATAGCAATATTTCTCTATATGCAAACTACATAACTAATCAAGGGCCATAACTCTGTAATGAAGGGTCTGGTCTGAACAAGGCAACAAATAATGCACATCTCATCTTGGTATTAATGGTTCCCAAATTTCAGCCAGTAGTTGCAGAGAAGTAGCGTGGAAACAATTATTGCTCTTTATGCACACTGCATAACTAATCAAGGGCCATAACTCCGAGTTAGTGTCTGACCGGAATAAGGCGATGATATGCGCATCAACTCTTTGTATTGAAGGTTCCCATAAAGTTTGCCCTATATGCATACTGCATAACTAATCAAGGGCCATAACTCCTAAAGTGTCTGACCGAAACAAGGAGATGATATGCCCATTTCCTCTTGGTATTGAAGGTTCCCATAAAGTTATGTTGAATTCCAGCCAGTAGTTGCAGAGAAGAAGCGGGCAAATGATTATTGCTGTATATGCATACTGCATAACTAATCAAGGGCCATAACTCTGAGTTAAAGGATCTTACCACAAGCCGACGATATGCGCATCTCCTCTTTATATTGATTAATACCATAAAGTTGCGTTGAATTCCAGCCAGTAGTTGCAGAGAAGTAGCGCAGACACGTTTATTGTTCTTTATGCAAACTGCTTAACTAATCAAGGGTCATAAGTTAAAGAGTCTGACCAGAACAAGGCAACGATATGCACATCTCTTGGTATTGAAGGTTCCTATAAAGTTTTGTTGAATTCCAGCCAGTAGTTGCAGAGAAGTAGAGCGGAAAGGACTGTTGCTCTATATGCATACTGCATAACTAATCAAGGGCCATAACTCTGAGTTAATGTGTCTGACAGGAACAAGCCAATGATATGCGCATCTCCTCTTGGCATTGAAAGTTCCCATAAAGTTACGTTAAATTCCAGCCAGTAGTTGCAGAGAAGTAGCGCGGAAACGATTTTTGCTCTATATGCATAATGCATAACTAATCAAGGGCCATAACTCGGAGTTAAAAGGCCTGACTGGAACAAGCTGACTATATGCGAATCTCCTCTTGATATTGATGATTCCCATAAAGTTTCATTCAATTCCAGCCAGTAGTTGCACAGACCTGGCGTTGAAACGAAATTCGGAGGGACCGATTAAAGGACAGACGGACAACACCAAAACAATATCCCCCTCCTGATTCCATTTGCGGGGATAATTAACATAAACGGTGGTCATCAGATCTACATAAAAGAAATAATCCTGAGATTTCTGCACTTAGTGAGATCTATCTACTTACATAGTTTCATGTGGATACCTTTCATAGTTCAAGTTCTTAAGTTATGTCCTGGACAAAGTTCAAAGTGTAAAATAAACAAAGGGCAAAAAATCAAAAGTTAGGCAACGGAGAGTAAGGGTTCTTTTGCACTGCACTTGTACCCAATGAGATCTATCTACCTACCTCTTGTCGTTTTAGAGTTATTACCTGGACAAAGTTCAAAGTGACATATACAAAGAGCAATAACTCCAAAATAAGGCAAGGCAGAACTATGTTCTTTTGCACTGCACTTTAAGTCAATGAGATCTATAAACGTACACAATTTGAAGTTGATATCTCATTAAGAAATGCTTTTAACTCATTACCATATATACATGCCTTTTAACAACTTTTTCACCCTCACCCTTTTTTTGATGTCTTAAATGGTGAAAAAATGCTTTATTTAGGCCCCCAACACTTGTTTTAAGAAATGTTGTTAAACAAGAGGGCCATGATGGCCCTGAGGTCGCTCACCTGTATAAAGGCCCCCCAAACTCCCACCCCCCAACGTTGCAGGGCCAATTTTACCCAAGGGCTTTTATTTGCACAAACTTGGTAGACACCCATAAGAAGATGTTTCATGCTAAACATCTAAGCTCTAGCTCATTGGGCTTTTTAAAAGAAGATTTTTTTTAAGTTTTTACTATACACATATAGTTAAAAACAATGACACCCCTGGGGCAGGGCCAGTTTTGACCCCAGGGCTTTTATTTGAACAAACTTTGTAGACACTTACTAGAAGATGTTTCATGCTTAATATCTAAACTCTAGCTATTTGGGTTTTTTCAAAGAAGATTTTAAGTTTTTGCTATCCACATATAAAGAAAATCAATGACCCCCGGGGCGGGGCCAATTTTGACCCCAGGTCTTTTATTTGAACAAACTTTGTAGACACTCACTAAAAGATGTTTCATGCTTAATATCTTAACTCCAGCTATTTGGGTTTTTTCAAAGAAGATTTTTTAAGTTTTTGCTATACACATATAAGGAAAATCAATGACCCCCGGGGCGGTGCCAATTTTGACCCCAGGGCTTTTATTTGAACAAACTTGGTAGACACCTATTAGAACATGTTTGATGCTAAATATCTTAGCCATAGCTCTTTGAGTTCTTAAGAAGATTGTTTAAGTTTTTACTATATGCATATATAGAAAATCAATGACCCCCCGGGGCGGGGCCAATTTTGACCCCAGGGCTTTTATTTGAACAAACTTGGTAGACACTTATTAGAACATGTTTCATGCTAAATATCTTAGCTCTAACTCTTTTGGTTTTTTAAAAGAAGATTTTTTAAGTTTTTACTATATGCATATAGGGAAAATCAATGACCCCCTGGGGCGGGGCCAATTTTGACCCAAGGGCTTTTATTTGAACAAACTTGGTAGACACCCATTAGAAAATGTTTGATGCTCAATATCTTAGCCATAGCTCTTTGAGTTCTTTAAAAGAAGATTTTTTAAGTTTTTACTATATGCATATAGGGAAAATCAATGACCCCCGGGGTGGGGCCAATTTTGACCCCAGGGCTTTTATTTGAACAAACTTGGTAGACACCCATTAGAACATGTTTCATGCTAAATATCTAAGCTCTAGCTCTAGCTCTTTTGGTTCTTTAAAAGAAGATTTTTTAAGTTTTTACTATATGCATATAGGGAAAATCAATGACCCCCCCGGGGCGGGGCCAATTTTGACCCCAGGGCTTTTATTTGAACAAACTTGATAGACACTCACTAGAAGATGTTTCATGCCAAATATCTAAGCTCTAGCTCTTATGGTTTTTTGAAAGAAGATTTTTAAAGTTTTTTCTTTCGGTTGCCATGGCAACCAGAGTTCTGCATGGAATTAAATTCTTTGAACAATTTTTAAAGGTGACCACCAAAGGAACATTCCTGTGAAGTTTGGATGAAATTGGCTTAGTGGTTTATGAGGAGATGTCATTTAAAGTAAAAGTTTACGGACGGACGGACGCCGGACGGACGACGAACGAACGGACGGACGCCGGACGAAAAGCGATCACAAAAGCTCACCCTGTCACTTTGTGACAGGTGAGCTAAAAAGTGATCACCTTTTTGGCGCCACCCCCTATTAAAAGGATACATCAGGGGGGTGTCAGAGGGGGAATATGCCCCCTTCTTCCACCCTGCTTATTACCAAGAACATGTAGAACTTCAGAGTGGCTAAAAAGGAACTCAGGTTGACCAAAAGGTAACGTGTAACCAGCGCTGAAAAGCCTCTATCTCAATCCATGAAGAAGTTGCAGCACTTTGCAATCAGTTTTGATGGAAAAAATCAACGCAAAATAGTGATTTTTGGCAATTTTGAGATGTACCCTCATTGTCATGGTAACAGGAAATTTAAGACTGAGCATGCAGTTAATGGCAATGATGTAGTCTTTGTCTGCGCCTTTTCCCAACAGTATTTCAGTCATATAGGCGGGTAGTTTCCTAACCATCGTTCCTGGAGAGTTACACCAGTACTAGACTACCTTCCTCCGCTCTAAACTACCAACGCATCTCCCGGGGATCGAACCCACGCCAGAGAGGTAACTGGATTAGAAGTCATCGACTCTAACCCCTCGACCACGGAGGCGGTTTGGTGTAGTCAACAATTGTGCCAAGTTTGATTAGTATTGAAGCATTTTTATAGTTTTATAGCAATTTGAACATGTAAAAGGAGACTTTTCAATGAAAACAGCCATTTTTCACAAAATGCTCATGCGGTTATGGGTTAAGTTATACATATATATACTATATACATATTAGGAAAATCTAAGTTCCTCTGGGACGGGGTCATTCTTGACCCAAGGGCTATAATTTGAACATTTTTTTTAGAAAGCAACAAGACAATGTTTCTTGCTAAATATCTAAGATAATTAGCCCTTGATATTTTTAAAAAGATTTTTGAAGTATTTACTTTATAAGGAAAATCAATGACCCCTTTGGGCAGGACCAATTTTAACCCCAGGTTTTTAACTTGAACAATTTTGCAGTTTCATTAGATGAAGCTACACACAAAATATCTGAGCTCTAGGCCATGCACTTTCACAGAAGATTTTAAAAGATTTCAGTTAAAAAATCTATTTTAGCCCTTCTGACCCAGATGTTCAATGGAGCAGAACCATTTGAAAATCATGCTAGGAACATCCAAGAAGAATTGCATCAAATTTGACCCAGTCGTTTCTGAGAAGTTGTTTGTAAAAATGTTGATGACGAATGCACAGACAGACGATGACGCCAATTACAAATTATGACACAAAAACTCAACAGATGAGCTTAAAAGCTAAATAGATCAAACTAAAAGTACAACAAACTAAACAGTAATGTCATGCTGAAATAGTAGAACATCAATGTTCAGTTAGCTAAACTGGATAGCTTCCACACATGAACGAATTCTTCAAAGTCCCTGGCAGAACTAACAGCAATGAGTGGCAAGAGGTTTAAATTCAACAACCATAACCACTCAGCCACAGACACACATGGTTGGCACTTGTGAAACTTGACATAACACTTAGAATCCCTGTCTCAGGCAAGTAGAATGCTGGTGACTTTATAATACTTGACATTTACCTATTGAACACAAGATTACAATGTCTTCAGTTATATAATTTTACTTTGTCATTGAATAGAATAAAAGATATGCAAATTCTGAGCATGAGCAAATTTTAATTCTATAGTCATGTTCAATAACAATTTAGCGTCAAACAACATCAAAACATGGGATGTTAACAGCAAAAAGAATTTTGAGTTCAATAAGTTTCTAAAATAATCTTCAAGAATGTTAACAAGAGCCATGTCAACATGGCCATCCCCCGCCGAATGTGTTTGCTCATTGGAAGAATGTATATGTAGTAGAGCAGAATAATTCAATTTTAAGAGGTCTTTTGGTAATGAAAACTGATGGCTGAAGAGTGGTAACAGATTTGAAACCTATGTGAATACTGATGGCTGAAAATAACAAAAGGCAATAACTGAAAAATAATGCAGGGTAGGTTATCCTTCTTATTTGCTGCACACCTCCTGAGTGAGATCTATGCACCTATGAAGTTTCATGTTGATATCTCAAAGGCTTTTTGAGTTATGCTCTGGACAAAAATTAATTTTGAAAAATAACAAAGGGCAATAACTCAAAAATTATGCAGGGTAGAGTTATTATTATTATTCTTGTGCACTGCACTTCTCCTCAATGATATCCATCCACCTATGACGTTTCAAGTTGATACCTCAAATACTTTTTGAGATATGCTCCTGACAAAAATGTCTAACGGAAGGACGGATGGATGGACGGACGGAAGGAGACTATTTCTATATCCCCCGCCGCCGCCTTTCGGCGGGGGATTACAATTTGTTAAACACACTTGGAACTATTAAATCTGTACATAAATGATAATGATTAGACTTATTGCCACCTATGTCCTTAACTTGTCAGATAAAGAATCAGTACAATTTAGGAAACTTTTTGGAACATATAATTCCATTTTTTAAGCACATTTCGTTGGTACCTTAACATTGTATAGGATATACATGTTTACTTTAAACTTAAAAGATATAAATTAAAAGAATAATAAGATTCATGGATACTGAATAAATTGATTTACCTTTGCTGGAACAAAGTAAAAACATTGTCAAAGATAATCTTGGTGAAGTTAGTCAACCACACAGTAATGTACAGAATAAATTTAATATATGAACAAATGGATCATAAACAAAAATTTGGTAAACACAAATGCCCCAGCCCCAATTCTTGTCAGTAACAATTTTTCAAACAAGAGGGCCATGATGGGCCTGAAATGGCTCACCTGTATATAGGCCCCTGGGCCAAGGCCAATTTTAAACCAGGGGCTTTTATTTGAACAAACTTGGTAGACACCCATTAGAAGATGTTTCATGATAAATATCTAAGCTCTAGCTCTTTGGGTTTTTTATTACTATATGCCCAGGGCATAAAAAAACAAGCACAAAATAAAACCATCAAAATGCATCTCTTAATACTTTTGTTTGTACAATTTAAGTCATAACTGATATATTCAGGACCTTTGATTTAGGCAGACAGACAGTTCAGCACGTCAATGAAGATTCAGGAATTTCAGACCAGAGACTGGTTTACAGAAAACTCCGTCATTAAGTCTGCTGACAAAATCTCCAAACCCGAAAAGTACCAGTTAGACCATTTCTTGTAAACTATATAGTAATACATGTAGGTACCATAAACTACTTAACAACAACAAATAAATACCTTACTTCACATAAAAAAAACATCATTTACATACACTAATCAATCAGCATATCATGTATATTAGAACTTGACAAGATGTTAAAATATAAATTGCAAAATTTGTTTACCATACTGGCATTGCCAGCTCGCAGACTTAACATTTGATAAATTTTACCATTTATTATTTTGACTTTGACTGTATTGTACATGTTACTTTTTCTTAGCTATGTAACTTTATGTTCAACAACGAATCTCGGAATAGTTTCTAAAGACAAGTACAGAAGGTTCACTATCAGTCCAAAGGTTATGTGACCACTTCAGCATATGTAGTAACTTATATTCTAAACATTAATGGCAAACATCACAATCTGTAACAATAATAAGTGTAACATTCCTGAATAATGCATAACTCCCTGCCTTAAATATGCAAATTTAAATGTCTAAAATTCAAAGAGCAAAGAGCATTGTATAAATTAACACAAAACAAAAATATCATAAACAGATTTTCTTGATCAATTGTACACCAAAAATGAATTAAAGTTTGTTTTTCTCACAACATAATATTTGGTGATACCAGTTGTCACATTCTACAAAATTTAACTAATTTTAACTACATGTACCGCTATTTTGTTGTCAATATCAGTTGCTTTTGACTTTCCAAATTTGAATTATTTTAACTTCCACTATTATTTTCTTTTCAATACCAGTTGCCATATTCCTTGTTGCTTTTTTTTTTAAAATTATTGTGTGAGAAAAGAGCTAAGTTTGTTTTTATCAGGGATATTCTACACAACAGAATTGATCATCATGACAGTGTCTGGTTTTAAGTTATATCAAGCAGGAGATCATTACCAATACTGGTCAAAGTCTTTTTCTACAGTCTGCAAATAAACAAGAGAAATCACATACATAAATTATCACCTGTACAGTTAGAAAAGACATATATGAACAATATTTTTATTTTGTAACTTTCAATTCGGAATTTTTTCCTGTGAATTCGGAAAATTATATACTATTTTCAATTGGGAATATGACTCAATAAAAAAATCCCTGAAACACAACACAATCATGTTTATAATGATGACCATATAAGTACTTTTTCTGCAGGAACTTTATTTCTGCTTTTTCTGCGGTTCATAATGACACTGCAGATTTAACAAGAGCTGTCACAGGAGACAGTGAAGCTTGACTTATACAAGAATAATATTACATACATTCGTATGTAATATAGGTACGATTGCATACTACTTTTTGTGAAGACTTTATGTTTGCTGAATTAAAGGTGTAATGTAAAATGAACAAACATGTCATGAGATATTTTATATCTTTAAACATTTTCATGGAATGTAATTAATGTATCACCATATTAAAGTTGCATGCCTTCAGATGAGAAAAATGATTTCAAGGAAATCAAAATAAGAAAAGAAAATTCACGGTCAATTGACTGCTTTGAAGCATAATCACAAAATAAAATTACAGGAATTTAAAAACCTTTTTAATACACTTAAGGTAGAATTTCATTGTAAATCATAGTCAAAGATTTGAGATATGATTATTTATTCATATTAACATCATTATTGGTTATATATTGATAAAAAAAAACCCCGAAAGACACAGTTTGTAAATATTTATTACAATAAAATATGAAAAAGGTATACGCGCCGAGGTTAGCTATAATTAAAATTCCCGCGCTAAGTCGCGGTGGTGCTTGGGATAATCACTTGGTACTGTAAATGGCAGCCATTTTACGATACGAATCCTCGGACAGTTTATCCTGCCGAAAAGATATGAAAAAATACTTGCAATTCAAAGTTTGCTGGCTACATAAAGATTATCGATTTACTCTTTGCACACTTTTTTTCTGCCTGAGTATAATAATATTGACGTGTTTTCATTGGCTTAAACCATCACGTTACCAATACACATGTAGGTGTGAACTAATTTCGTGTTCATTAAAATTATTCCGTTAATAGACATATAACAATCTTATTTACAAATGAATTGATAAAACAACAATCCCAGAAGCATTTAAGATAATAACAATCATTGGAAAAAAATAAATGCATATAAATTGTAACTTTGTGTATGACAACTCAACCCCCTAAACAAAACATAATAGACTCAACCAAAACAAGCGCCTGCTTCTTCACCTAACTATGTAGTTGCATGACCATGATTAGCAATTTAGCAAACCAAATCTAAGAGATAAACCTATTGTAAAAATAATACTATGACCACAGCAGATTTCGTACAGAAAATAATGGACGAAGTAAGGATGACAAAACTATGAAAGAAAAATCAATTATGTATTATTATGTATTAAGTTATAGTAAAAAAATAACATTTGTTAACATAAATTCCAAGTTCAAGGGGGAATAATTCTGAAAATTGTCACACTAGAGTTACGAACTTTGTCACAAACCATGTGTGTAATGATAATAAATATATTTGTAGTTTGAAGTAGATACCTTAAAAAGTAAATTAGTTATAATATTTCTTAACGAAAATCCTAAGTGCAAAGAGAGATAAATCTGAAAATATTGCTTCAAGAGTTATGAACCTTGTCACATAAGATGTAATTGATGATAAGGAATAAATATTTGAAGTTTGAGGTAGATACCTTTAAAACTAAAGAAGTTATAGTAAAAAACAAGAACGTGTTTGTTAAACACAAATGCCCACGGCTCCGATTCTTGTCAGTAGCAATATTTCAAAAAATGTTTACCCATTCACTCAGTTATGGGCAAAAACATTGCCAAAAACTTGTAAACACAAGTTATATAGCTTATAGTTATATAGCAAGTTATCTTCCTACCAAATATGAAATACACCTGTCAATAAATAAAGGCTGTATGGGCAAAAATATTAAAATCTATTTTGAGCATTGATGACCTTGACCAAACTGACCCCTAACTCCATCCAAAGGAAGAATACCATGCAAGTTATCTTCCAACCAAATATGAAATAAATCTGTCAATAAATAAAGGCTGTATTGGCAAAAGTGTAAAAATCTATTTTTAGCACTTGTGACCTTGACCCAACTGACCCCTAACTCCATCCAAAGTAAGAATAACATGCAAGTTATCTTCGTACCAAATGTGAAATATATCTGTCAATAAATAAAGGCTGTATTGGCAAAAGAGTAAAAATCTATTTTTAGCACTAGTGACCTTGACACACTGATCCCTAACTCAATCAAAAGGAAGAATACCATGCAAGTTATCTTCCTATCAAATATGAAATACACCTGTCAATAAATAAAGCCTGTATGGGCAAAAGTGTAAAAATCTATTTGTAGAACAAGTGACCATGACCCACTGATCCCTACGCAAATCAAAAGGATGAATACCATGCAAGTTATCTTCCTATCAAATATGAAATAAATCTGTCAATAAATAAAGGCTGTATGAGCAAATGTGTAAAAATCTATTTTTAGCACTGGTGACCTTGACCCAACTGACCACTAACTGTTCCTATCAATAATAAATGACATCTGTCTATAGAATATAGTTAATACACCTGTAAAAATGTAAAAATCTATTTTTAACATTGGTGACCTTGACATTGGTGACACTGACTTTGACCCAAATGACCCCTTACTGTACCCAAAGAAGGAGGACCTCCCTTGGCATGTTTGTATTAAACATGAAAGACATCAACCAAAAAATAAAGGCTGTATGAGCAAAAATGTTTAAATTTATTTTCTAAACCAGTGACCTTGACCTTGACCCTAGAGACCACTTACTCCACAAAAAATTAGAGGACCATTAAAGGTATCCACCTACCAAATATGCAAGATATCATTAAATAAATTAAGCAATTAAGAGAAATTTACGATAAATCCAACTTGCCGGAATAGGTTAACCAGACAAGGCCCTATTTTCAAAGTGAAAAAAGGGAAATAACTGGGAAATATGGATGACACAGTTATATAACTTGGCAATATCATGTACTTTGTATTGATAAGTAAGTGTGGAAATTATGAAGCCATTAGTATAGATAGAACTTAAGATATTTCCAACTTGCCGTTTTAGGTTAAACATTATTCATTTTCTAAGTGCTGAAAAGGGCAATAACTTGGTAAATAATGAAGCCATAGTTATGTAACTTGACAAGATCATGTACTTTGTATTGATTAGTAAGTGTGTAAACTAAGAAGCCATTGGTACAGGTAGAACTTAAGAAAATTCCAACTTGCCGTTCTAGGTTAACCTCGTACGGACAGATGGACGGACTGTTCAATTACTATATGCCCGGGGGCATAAAAACCATTTTTCAAGTAAAAACATCTATGTTTATGGGGAGATCATTCTTTCAATATTGGTGCTAGAGTTATGAACCTTGTCACATAAGATGTGGTTAATGATAAGGAACACATATTTGAAGAATGAAGTTGATCCCTTAATAAATAAAGAAGTAACAGTAAAAAATAGTATTTTCTAAGGAAAATAATTCTAAGTTCAAGGGGAGATAAATCTGAAAATATTGGTGCTAGAGTTATGAACATTGTCACATAAGATGGGGATGATGATAAGGTACATATATTTGAAGTATGAAGTTGATCCCTTAAGAAATAAAGAAGAAACAGTAAAAAATAGTATTTTTTAAGGAAAATTCAAGGGGAGATAAATCTATAAATATTGGTGCTAATTTTATGAACCTTGTCACATAAGATCTGGTTATAATTTAATGAAAAAGAACACAGATTTGAAGTATAAAGTTGATCCCTTAAAAAATCAAGAAGTAACAGTAAAAAATTGTATTTTTTAAGGAAAATTCTAAGTTCAAGGGGAGATAAATCTATAAATATTGGTGCTATAGTTATGAACCTTGTTGCATAAGATGTGGTTGATGATAAGGTACATATATTTGAAGCTTGAAGATGATACCTTAAGAAATGAAAAAGTTATAGTGAAAAACATTTTACTGCACCAAAACTTTAATCTGAAATCTGGACGCCGGGGTGAGGACAGCTTTCCATATACTTCGTATTGTCAAGCTAAAAACTGCAGAATATTAAGCCTTTCCCTAAGTATATGTCGGAATATTTTAACTACCAGTATTGTATAATTAAATTACCATGCATCGTTATCTGCTTTTGTAGAGATTAATGGTATTGGGATTTTTTCTTTGCGTATCTGTCGTGAATAAACAATTAGAAACAAATCCTTACTTTGCTTGTTCTATTTGTTTAAATAATCAACATTTTCTCAGAATATTTGTATATGATACTAACAAATTCTCGATAAAAATTATATTGTATATCATTGCAATTAAATACTAAATTGTGTTCATGTGTGGTTTATACTGTTGTTTATATCGCTGTTTTAATCTTCTCATTTTTAAATATATTTAGCGGTATCATTATCAAAGACATGATAAAACAAGAGGGCCATGATGGCCCGAGGTTGCTCACCTGTATATAGGCCCCTGGAGCAGGGCCAGTTTAAACCCCAGGGCTTTTATTTGAACAAACTTGGAAGACACCCATTAGAAGATGTTTCTTGATGTTAAGTTTTTACTACACACATATAATGAAAAACAATGACCTCTGACCTCCCCCATCCCCATCCCCCGGCAGGGCCAATTTTTACCCAAGGGCTTTTATTTGAACAAACTTGGTAGACACCCATAAGAAGATGTTTCATGCAAAACATTTAAGCTCTAGCTCATTGGGTTTTTTAAAAGAAGATTTTACTATACAGATATAGTTAAAAACAATGACACCCCTGGGGCATTGCCAGTTTTGACCCCAGGGATTTTATTTGAACAAAACTTTGTAGACACTTACCAGAAGATGTTTCATGCTTAATATCTAAACTCTAGCTATTTGGGTTTTTTCAGAAGATTTTTATGTTTTTGCTATACACATATAAGGAAAATCAATGACCCCTGGGGTGGGCCAATATTGACCCCAGGGCTTTTATTTGAACAAACTTGGTACACACCCATTAGAACATGTTTCATGCTAAATATCTTAGCTCTAGCTCTTTGAGTTCTTTAAAAGAAGATTTTTTAAGTTTTTACTATATGCATATAGGGAAAATCAATGAACCCCTGGGGCGGGGCCAATTTTGACCCCAGGGCTTTTATTTGAACAAACGTGGTAGACACTCACTAGAAGATGTTTCATGTCAAATATCTAAGCTCTAGCTCTTTTGTTTTTTTAAAAGAAGATATTTAAAGTTTTTTTCTTTTGGTTGCCATGGCAACCAGAGTTCTGCATGGAATTAAATTCTTTGAACAATTTTTAAAGGTGACCACCAAAGGAACATTCCTGTGAAGTTTGGATGAAATTGGCTTGGTGGTTTATGAGGAGATGTCATTTAAAGTAAAAGTTTACGGACGGACGGACAGACGGACGACGGACGAAAAGCGATCACAAAAGCTCACCCTGTCACTTTGTGACAGGTGAGCTAAAAATAAACCTTGTTTGTTATTGTAATAAATGCCTGCAGTAAACAGTCTTTTGTATTTATACAATACATGTAGCTTGTGTCTCTGAGTGATTTGCCATTGTTTATTCTTCACACTTACCTTCACAAGTTAACTTTAATTCTAACACGACCCGCATTTTTCCCTATTGAACATAGAAGAACCGGAAGTGTGTGTTATTATGCTATAAAATCACTGTTTGACGTTCTATATTTAGACATGTGACGTAATCATTATACACGCGACGTAACCACTAAAAATATGACGCGCTGACAATAAGTACGGAAACAAATCAGGCGCAATTTAGCTAATTATCATGTACGGCAGCATTTATTTGTTGATGTCGTGTTAGAATCGAAATAATATATCCAAATCAGTGATTTTATTGCTTGATAACATCACTGTCTGTCGTTCGGGTGCGCATCATTATATCACTCGGGCTACGCCCTCGTGATATAATTCCCCGCATCTGAACTCCAAACAGTGATGTTATTGAGCAATAAAATCACAGTTTGGGATATATTATTTCTTAAAGAAACCATCACCGTTCTTGTATTTAAATTGTGTTTGCATGTTGTTGTTTTTTATTTTATTTCCGTGTAAAAACTGATATATGATAATTACGAACAAGAGGGCCATGATGGCCCTGAAGTCGCTCACCTGTATAAAGGCCCCCCGGGGCTCGGCCAATTTAAACCCCAGGGCTTTTATTTGAACAAACTTGGTAGACACTCACTTGATGGGGTTTCATGAGTATCTAAACTCTAGCTCTTTTGGTTTTTTAAAAGAGAAATTTTTTAAGTTTTTACTAAACACATATAGTTAAAAACAATGACACCCTTTGGGCGGGGCAAATTTTGACCCCAGGGCTTTTATTTGAACAAATACTGTAGACACTCACTAGAACATGTTTCATGCTAAATATCTAAGCTCTAGCTCTTTGAGTTCTTTAAAAGAAGTTTTTAAGTTTTTACTATATGCATATAAGGAAAATCTATGACCCCCTGGGGCGGGGCCAATTTTGACCCTAGGGCTTTTATTTGAACAAACTTGGTAGACACTCCTTTGATCTTGCCAACAATCTGACGTAATCAATGCTACTTTCCTAATTTACAATGTGTCAACAGGCCCGCTTCCAGATCTGTGTAGTTGTCCAGGTGCAAAGCTATATCGATAGTGTGTGCTGTAAATATGTTTACCCTTTTGTGTTTTCAACATTTACTGTTTTCAAGCAGACTACACTCTGTTTTAGTGAACTTTAAAGTGTAAGTTTTGATTTACAGACATTTTTCATAAACGGAATGATATTGGATATATCATAAATCGCCGAACAAGTAAGAGAGTTTCTTTATTTTCTATAATTTCTTTGTTTAAATTATACATTAAGTTTTCAAAAGTGGGTGGGGGGCGCGTTAAATCATGATTTTATGGTATCTAAGCTCTAGCTCTTTGGGGTTTTTATAAGAAGATTTTTAAGTTTTTACTATATATACATTTAGGGAAAAACAAGGGGCCAATTTTGACCCAAGGGCTTTTATTTGAACAAACCTGGTAGACACTCACTACAAGATATTTCATGCTTAGTATCTAAACTCTAGCTCTTTGGGTTTTTAATAAGAAGATTTTTTAAGTTCTTACTATACACATATAAGGAAAATCCATGACCCCCAGGGTGGGGCCAATTTTTACCCAAGAGCCATTATTTGAACAAACTTGGTAGACACCCATTAGAACATGTTTCATGCTAAATATCTTAGCTCTAGCTCTTTGGGGTTTTTAAAAGAAGATTTTTGAAGTTTTTATTATATACATAAAGGGAAAAACAATGATCCCCCTGGGGCAGGGCCAATTTTGACCCCAAGGCTTTTATTTGAACAAACTTGGTAGACACTAACTAGAGGATAATTCATGCTTAATATCTAAGCTCTAGCTATTTAGGTATTTAAGAGAATTTTTTTTTAAAGTTTTTACTATATACATGTACAAATAAGAAAAATCAATGACCCCCGAGCGGGGCCAATTTTGACCCCAGGGCATTTATTTGAACAAACTTGGTAGACACTGACTAGATGATGTTTCATGCCAAATATTTAAACTCTAGCTCTTTCAGTTTTCTAAAAGAAGATATTTTAAGTTTTTTCTTTCGGTTGCCATGGCAACCAGAGTTCTGCTTGGAATTAAATTCTTTGAACAATTTTTAAAGTTCACTACCAAAGGAACATTCCTCTGAAGTTTGGATGAAATTGGCTTAGCGGTTTATGAGGAGATGTGGTTAAAAGTAAAAGTTTACGGACAGACGTCGAATAGACGCCGGACGAAAAGTGATCACAAAAGCTCACCATGTCACTTTGTGACAGGTGAGCTTAAAACACATTATTAGTTGTCTGCATTTTAAACCAGAAGTTATGTAACATCAACAAATCTTGAAATGTTGTCAGTTTTTATTTGTTTATTTTGTACAAATATCTTAATAAAAACACAGAAATAAAATGCATCAATGGGAGAATGATGACACCGCAGAAATAAGATACGCAGAAATTTAAAACCCCTTATTTTGACAAAAATCGCAGAATATTAAACCTGCAGAAATAAGTATACTTATTTGGTATCTTACATCTCACTACGGAAATCTCTGCAAGTAACCATTAACTTCACCACATGCCAATGAATAAGGGTTTCAAGATAATGTGCCCAACATGTAATGTGATTAAACACCTTCTTCACCACATGAATCGAAGTTTCAAGTTCATTTGCCCTATATGTACAGTCAATAACCAAACATTATGCATTAAACGTGCAACATAATAGTTAGGAATTTCAACTAAAACTCAATTTCTAAATTGCCTGGATATTTCATGATAATAAACATTTTCTCTGGCTGTTTTCAACATGACTCAGTTTAACAATGACAAGTTGTATTCATTACCAGTGGGTCAGAAAGGTTGGCCACAATAATGCCACACCAGACTACAAAACCTTATAGTCTGACAAGAATGTTCTTTTACATGGCTAAGGTTGGACAATATACATGTAAATGAAAATTTGTTAAAGATATACTATGCTCATCCTTAAGTAAAATATTTTAAATGCAGAAATGTATAGAAATCTATGACATTCTTACTTAGTATGACTAATTTGAATATAAGGATGATATGACTATGTATGTGAAGCTGCGTTTTATATTACAGGTCAACTTAGGTTCTTAAAAAACTGCCAGTTCTTTTAAATATCTCTATATAATCATATTGTGATCACATATAATGTGTAGAGTTTTAGAAGTTTTAAACTTAACATATCCTCTTTGGTTTGAAATCAAAACATGTTTATTTTATATTTTTAAAGAGACTGTATAACAATCATCAATATTTTCTCATATCATATTTGAGAATAGTATATCTTTAAGTAATTAAATATAATCTTTCAATTAGTATAGAGACCAATTCATGAAGTTTGACCAAAAAATGTTTTATCTTAATTATCCTAATACCGGTATACTAAAAAATTTTAATAACCCCCAGTGTGGGTGCACTTTTTACCCTATGTGCATGATTCATACAACTTTTGAGGAGGGAAAATGAAATGAAATTTTCAGAATTAATACTTACTTCAGGGTCAACATTTGGGGCATATCTTTTCACAGGTATTCCTTCTTTATCTATCAAGAATTTGGTGAAGTTCCATTTGATAAAGCTGAAAAAGGAGGAACTAATTGTGACAAAGAGAAATTTTTCTTACACCTAATTCTTATTTTTAAATAACCATCGAAAGCATAAGCTAGCAAATGGCAAAGAGAAAATATCTTTAGCCCTTAGGCAGCTGCTACCTATGTGACTTGTGCAGCCCAAAACCAGCCAACACAAATGAACACTGTTCCCTGTTCAATCAGTACATATTTTTACCTCTAAAAATGATGAATGTGTTAGAGGTAAGGTTTAATAAATGTTAAATAAGATTAAAGCTCTGACCTTATAACAAAATATCAACACATAATAATGCAATCAGATCTGAAAATTTAAACCAGAAATTCTGTAAATTAACAATGGCAGCAAACAATCAGTAAAATTCCATCCTAGAGTTAGTGGGTAATGATAATGAACATGACTGGTATAAAGCAGTGTTGTCATTTAGAGCCAGCTGCTTCAAACTATTTTTGGGCCAGCTCAAATCTCCGAAGAAAATGAGTTTCTTAGACACACATACGCCCGGCTCAAATTCTTATCAGTGACAATTTTTCAAAAAGGATTACCCATTCACTCAGTTATGGACAGAAAATTGCTAAAACATTGTAAACATAGTTATATAATTTGTCAGTCCAGGTGTTTTGAAATTGTGAAAAATATAAGTTGGCAAGTCATTACTATGACTTGTGGTGAAATTGAACAATATTTAACTTAACAATTAAACTTTTTCAAATATATATAAATGCAAGACCTTGACCTTGAACCAGAGACCCCAAACTACATCAAAACTTATGAAACTACCTTATATATATGTACAGGTATGTTCCTTGTAAATATGAGACCTTGATAAACAAGAGCCCGGTTTCGTTTCGTTCAAAGCCTTGATAATGGCCGTGTGGTCACTCCGGTTTGAGCCGGGTGATGCTCCCCGAATAGGTTTTGGACACAGAAAGTACACCTCTTGTAGTTTCAGAGTTATGTCCCTGGAAAAAGTTCAAAGTGCAATAATTCCAAAATTAGGCAAGGCAGAGTTACTGTTATTTGCACTGCACTTCTAATCAATGTGATCAACCTACAAAGTTTCTTGATGATGATCTCTTATGATTCTCTTATGATTTCCGAGTTATGTCCCGGACAATTTCAAAAAGTAAAAATAAACAAAGGGCAATAACTCCAGAATTAGGCAAGGCAGAGTTATGATTCTTGTGCACTGCACATCTACCCATTGAGATATATCTACCTACAAAGTTTCATGTTGATATCTCTTATAGTTTTACAGCTATGTCCTGGACAATATTTTTCTAAAAGGGGAGATAATTCAAAAATGACGCTTAACAGAGTTATGGTTCTTTTGCACTGCACCTCTACTCAATGAGATCTATCTACCTACAATGTTTCATCTTGATATCTCTTATAGTTTTAGAGTTATGTTCTGGACAAAGTTCAATGTGTTAAAATAAACAAAGGGCAATAACTCCAAAATTAGGACAAAAAGAGTTATTGTTCTTATGCACTGCACATCTACCCATTGAGATCTATTCACCTACAAAGTTTCATGTTGATATCTCTTCTAGTTTTAGAGTTATGCCCCGGACAAGATTTTTCTATAAGGGGAGATAATTCAAAAACCGGGCAAAATAGAGTTATGGTTCTTTGACACTGCACTCCCCCTCAATGCCCTCTACCACTGAATGAAGTTTCAACAAATTATCTCCAAGGGTTTTCAAGTTATGCTCCGGACAAGACAACGGACAGACAGACGGACGGACGGACAGATGGACGGACAAGGCGCCGACTATATGCTCCCCCGAAATTTTTCGGGGAGCATAAAAAAATAAAAACTAGAAATGTGTCCATAGGACACGGGTACAGCCATGGTATAACAACTTTGGAAGCTGTTTACCGAAGGAACAATCTTGGCAAGTTTGATTGAAATTGGACTAATAGTTTTTCAGGAGGTTTTACAGTAAACTTCACTTATAGTGAACACAGTTATATAAGGAACAATTTTTTTGGCCCTAATTTTACTCCTCTTTATTTAATATAAAACAAGATTGCATTTGTGAAAAATGCTATGCCACCACATTAATACAACACTAAATAGTAGTGTAGGAACAGATTTTTTTTGTTTCTATACAATTGAAGATTGTCATAACGCATAGATCCCTGACCTATCTAATTCTTTTTATCAGATTAGTGGTTAAATCTATTGTTATTCAAATAAAAGATCAGAGTAGGAATATATCAATGCAGTTGAGTCTAGTGAATTTGGTGGTGAAGGTCATATTTCACACAGCCTAAATTTCATGACTTGATCAAAAGACAAGACAGTAAGACACTTTGTCAAAATCTAGGTCAGCTGATATCAAAGTTCACTTTACATCTTAATCTGTGCACATGGTTCAAATTTCATAGCTGTATATCAAAGGACAAGAAAGTAGGTCACATCATCAAAATCTAGGTCACCTGATATCAAAGTTCAATTTTACAACTAAAACTGTGAAAATGGTCAAAATATCATTGCTGTACATCAAAGGACAAGAAAGTAGGTCACTGTCCCCTTGGGCAAGGCAAAATTTTGACCCAAGGGTTTAATTCAAAACAATCTTGATACAGGTCCACCAAACAACATTTCATGTCAAATATCTAAGCTGTAGCTTTCTCCAATTCAGAAAACATTTGTTTTAGTTTCTGTTTTTACTATGGGTATATAATGAGAATCAATGCCCCCGGGCAGGGCCAATTTTGATACCAGGAGAAAAAATTTGAACAACTTTGGTAGAGGACCTATAGATGATATTATATAACAAACATCAAAGCTCTATGCCTTGTACCTTCAGACAAAAAGATTTTTTATTTTTTCTACTATATTAACATAATGAAAATCAATGACCCCCTGAGCGGCGCCAATTTTGACCCCAGGGCTATAATTTTGAACAATCTTGGTAGAGGTTCTCTTCGCAAAGTCTCATGCCAAATATTTAACCTCTAGCCTTTGTCAATTCAGAGAAGAAGATTTTTCAAGTTTTTACTTTGTACATATAAGGAAAACTATCGCCTCTGGGACAGGCAATTTTAACACTAGGGGCATAATTAAAACAACTTTAGAAGAGGAACCATAGATGATATTATATACCAAATATCAAAGCTCTAAGCCTTGTACCTTCAGACAATAAGATTTTTTAATTTTTTACTATATTTATATAGTGAAAATCAATGACCCCTGGGGGTGGGGCCAATTTTGACCCCAGGGCTATAATTTGTACAATCTTGCTAGAGGTTCACTACACAATGTTTCATGCAAAATATCTTACCTCTAGCATTTGTCAATTTAGAGAAGTAATTTTTAAAGTTTTTACTGATAAGGAAAACCTATGACCCCAGGGGCGGGGCTAATTTTGACACTAGAGGTAAAATTTGAACAGCTTTTGTAGAGTACCTATAGATGATATCATACAACAAATATTAAAGCTCTAAGCCTTGTACCTTCAGACAATAAGATTTTTTGATTTTTTACTATATGTACATATTGAAAATCAATGACCCCTGGGGCGGGGCCAATTTTGACCCCAGGGCTATAATTTGAACAATCTTGGTAGAGGTTCACTACACAATGTTTCATGCAAAATATCTAACCTCTAGCATTTGTCAATTGCTAGAAGAATTTTTTTTAAAGTTTTACTATATACATATAATATATGATATAATGAAAACCTATGACCCCGGGGCAGGGCTAATTTTGACACTAGAGGCAAATTTTGAACAATATTTGTAGAGTACCTATAGATAATAACACATACCAAATGTCAAACCTCTAAGCCTTGTACCTTCAGACAAGAAGGTATTTTAAGTTTTTACTATATGTACATAAAGTGAAAATCAATGACCCCCGGGGCGGGGCCTATTTTGACCCCAGGGCTATAATTTGAACAATCTTGGTAGAGGTCTACCAGACAATGCCTTATGCAAACTAGAACTATCGCTGAATGCGATTCATACACCCACCAATGTCCTTGACAGAAGACAACTTGGAAAGGTGGTTAAGGGAATAACTTTAGTGGCACAAATACATAAAAAGAAATTATCTCTGGTGAAAAAAAGACTAATTGTACAGGTAATAGTATAAATATTTATTATCAAAACATGTTCGAAACAGTTACAAATAACCTTTCATTTTCCCAATGTACTAAACATTTTATAAGTCAATTTTTGACCTTCAAGTGTGGCCTTGACCTTAAGCTGGCACATGGGTAAGACGGGTTCTGCACATTGCCCAGTTGGGGAGAACAATTGAGTTAAGTTTGAAGAAAATCCTTCCATTAGTATAGAATTTATAGAGCGGACACAACATATAGTCTAGTATTGATTGTATGTAATTTAAAGACTTAAAAAGGGGCATAACTTTGTCAAAATGCATGCAGAGTTATGAAACTTGACCTGCATATCTTATTTGTGACACCTCATATATCTTTTAAGTTTCAAGCAAATACCTTTTCTAGTTTCAGAAATATTCAAGTACATGTGAAAATTTAAGAACATTTTCTAAGTCAATTTTTGACCTTCAAGTGTAACCTTGACCTTTAGCCCGCACAAAGGTGACATTGATTCTGCACATAACATTGTTGAGGTGAACATTTGAGTAAAGTTTGAAGAAAATTCTTCGATTAGTATAGGATTTGTAGAGTGATCACAACATATTGTCTAATATTTGATTGTATGTAAATTTGAAGACTTAAAAAGGGGCATAACTTTGTTAAAATGCAATACAGAGTTATGAAACTTGACCAGCATATCTTAATTGTGACATTTCATATATATTTTAAGTTTCAAGCAAAAACCTTTTCTAGTTTCAGAAATATTCAAATTACATGTTAAAATGTAAGAATATTTTCTAAGTCAATTTTTGACCTTCAAGTGTGACTTTGACCTTAAGCGGGCAAAAGGGTGACATGGGTTCTGCACATGACCTTGTTGAGGTGGACATTTGAGCCAAGATTGAAGAAAATCTTTCAATTAGTGCAGGACTTACAGAGCGGACACAACATATTGTGTAATATTTGATTGTTTGATATTTGACCATCAACTGTGACCTTGACCTTGAGCTGACACATGGGCAACATGGGTTCTGCACATCCCCTTGTTGAGGTGAACATTTGAGCCAAGTTTGAAGAAAATCTTTCAATTAGTGTAGGACTTACAGAGCGGACACGACATACTGTCTAATATTTGATTGTGTTTGATATTTGACCTTCAATTGTGACCTTGACTTCGAGCTGACACATGGGCAACATGGGTTCTGCTCATCCTCTTGTTGAGGTGAACATTTGAGCCAAGTTTGAAGAAAATCCTTCAATTGGTATAGGATCTATAGAGCAGACACGAAAATGGAGACGGACGGACGGACGCCACAAAGCGAATCCATTATAGCCCCCCCCCCACATTTTGTGGGTATAAATATCTAAGCTCTAGGCCTTTTGGGTCTTTACAAGAAGATTTTTTAACTTTATTCTTATAATTCCTTTTGGTTGCCATGGCAACCAGATTTCTGCATGGAATGAAATTCTTTGAACAACTTTGAAAGCCCTTCACCCAAGGATCAATCCTGCCAAGTTTGGTTGAAATTGGACTAGTGGTTTTTCAAAAGCAGATTTTTTAAGTTCACTATATAATCTATAGAACACATGCACAAACACACACACAAACACACACACAGGTGAATTGTATATGCCACCGCATCACAGATGCTGCGGTGGCACAAATATACGGTTATAGCAAACACGTTATAAGGAATTATGGCTTAAAAGGAACTCATTTCTTAGTTCCAATTTAGTTAAAAGTACAGAAAATTACACTTTAAATTATCCAAAATATCGGCTATCCATGAATAGATACCGCATTTTCAACTTTCGTTTTCATTGGCACAGATATTTTTAGCATGAGTTCTTGTCATCAAGTTAAACAGTTATTTCTTTTATTCTATTCTTTCTTTTCTCGAGTAAAATAATAATGATCATTTATAATTGGTTTTCAACATAATCACGCATGCTATTCCTTGCTAATCCATTGAAAACTACAAAGTACGCTGGATTGAAATGAAAAGAAATCTAAAGCTTTCATAAGTAAAAGTCACCCTTGATTTTGATTATAATAGAAGATATTCAATACAAGAGCTGTCAGTAGGACAGCAACCCTCATCTATTCTTAGTGCTTGATAGTAAAAAAAATGCTTGATACAGTTACCTCCTCCTGTTTACAGGTTGGGGTCATGATGGTGAACAAGTGTGCAAAGTTTCAAAGCCATATGTCAATGGACTTTGAAAATATTTGAACTATTACAAAAACTTTAACATAAATTCTAAGTCGAAAAAGGGGCATAATTCTGTCAAACTGCTTGATAGAGTTACCTCCTCCTGTTCACAGGTTGGGGTCATGATGGTGAACAAGTGTGCAAAGTTTCAAAGCCATATGTCTATGGACTTTGAAAATATTTGAACTATTACAAGCCCTTTAACGTAAATTCTAAGTCGAAAAAGGGGCATAATTCTGTCAAAATGCTTGATAGAGTTACCTCCTCCTATTTACAGGTTGGAGTCATGATGTTGAACAAGTGTGCAAAGTTTCAAAGCCATATGTCAATGGACTTTGAAAATATTTGAACTATTACAAAAACTTTAACGTAAATTCTAAGTCGAAAAAGGGGCATAATTCTGTCAAAATGCTTGATAGAGTTACCTTCTCCTGTCTACAGGTTGGGGTCATGATGGTGAACAAGTGTGCAAAGTTTCAAAGCCATATGTCAATGGACTTTGAAAATATTTGAACTATTACAAAAACTTTTACGTAAATTCTAAGTCGAAAAAGGGGCATAATTCTGTCAAAATGCTTGATAGAGTTACCTTCTCCTGTCTACAGGTTGGGGTCATGATGGTGAACAAGTGTGCAAAGTTTCAAAGCCATATGCCAATGGACTTTGAAAATATTTGAACTATTACAAAAACTTTAACGTAAATTCTAAGTCGAAAAAGGGGCATAATTCTGTCAAAATGCTTGATAGAGTTACCTCCTCCTGTCTACAGGTTGGGGTCATGATGGTGAACAAGTGTGCAAAGTTTCAAAGCCATATGTCAATGGACTTTGAAAATATTTGAACTATTACAAAAACTTTAACATAAGTGGTTACGCCGATGCCGACGCTCGGGTGACTGTAATAGCTCTACTTATTCTTATCGAATAGTCGAGCTAATAAAAGGAAGGGAAAAAATCGAAAATCTTGTTTATTCTTATTAAGCATGGAAAGAAAATGAAAAGCACTGAGATTATAAGGAACAAAATATGATATTTGATGAGAAATTGAGAAAGGGTGAAATAGCAAAGGATTTTTAATTCCAAAAAGTATGAGCAATAAATGACTAATTTTTCTTAAACAAATGCTCTTCAGAATAGTGGACGATGGTAAACAATCAGTTCGTTATGCGTAAATCTGTTCGCTATAAAAAGTCCTGATACAAGGAACAAATTTGCTATATGCTAACAAGTCTGGATATAAGGACAGATTTTAAATGTCCTAATGAGTTCGTTATAAGCAGAGTTTACTGTATATAATATATATAACACACACACAGGTTAATCACTATATGCCACCGCATCATAGATGCTGCGGTGGCGTAAAAAAGTACATGTGTGTAATTTATAGAAAAATGGATTTATTTTAGTGTGTTGTATGAAAATAATGAAAATAAATTATCAAATGTGTGGTGTTAAAACTTGAATATTCTCTACATATTCATGAAATAGTCCTATTAAAAGATAGAAAGACATACAAGAATATATATAGTTCATACTTACTCTCCTAATGTACCACCCTGTTTATGCTTCAAATATTTGAAAAGGGGGAGTGCATTATTTCCATTTACTTCTATTTTACTAAATAATTCAAATCCATCACTGTAACCATGGACAAATTCTTTTATCTTTGGTTCTGGCCATGGTTCCTATACAAAATAGAAATAAGAATACAGTGAACACGGTTCAAACGAAAAAATGGTTATAACAAAAGGAAATCAATTCCCCGACTTTAACCCTTCTTTATTTATATGCCTCCTTACAATTGCTTAGAACGAATTTGGATACAGCGAAAAAACGGTTATAATGTAAGGATTCTGAGGTCCCGTGATACATATTTTAATGTAAATCAGCACGGTTATAGCGAAATCGATTTTTGACAGTACAACAAAGAGAAGACAAGTGATTGCCTACAGGTGTTAATTATAACATCTCTATTGATCATGCGTTGAAAAGAGGGCTTGATATGTTTTCACACGTTTTTCTCGTGACAAGTTTAAAAAAATGTTAAAAAGGCCTTATAATAATTCGATTGTTAAAAGTATAAACATTCCCATGAAATGTGACTTGAGCTGATCTATTTCTAGACCTATGTGTTTAACAGTTTTTATCATGATTATTTGATTAAAAATGGATAGAGGTTTAAAACGAAAAGCTATTACTTTGGAGACAAAATTTGAAATTTTAAGTGAAGTTCAAAAAGGTTTAAAGAAAAAGAGTATCGCTGAAAATTTTTGAGTTAATTTTAACCCAAGTGCTTTTATTTGAACAAACTTGGTAGACACCCATAAGTAGATGTTTCATGCTAAACATCTAAGCTCTAGCTCATTGGGTTTTTTAAAAGAAGATTTTTAAGTTTTTACTATACACATATAGTTAAAAACAATGACACCCCTGGGGCGGGGCCAGTTTTGACCCAAGGGCTTTTATTTGAACAAACTTTGTAGACACTTATTAGAAGATGTTTCATGCTTAATATCTAACTCTAGCTATTTGGGTTTTTTCAAAGAAGATATTTAAAGTTTTTTCTTTCGGTTGCCATGGCAACCAGAGTTCTGCATGGAATTAAATTCTTTGAACAATTTTTAAAGGTGACCACCAAAGGAACATTCCTGTGAAGTTTGGATGAAATTGGCTTAGTGGTTTATGAGGAGATGTCATTTAAAGCAAAAGTTTACGGACGGACGGACGCTGGACGAAAAGCGATCACAAAAGCTCACCCTGTCACTTTGTGACAGGTGAGCTAAAAATGAGAAAGAAATCAGTGAGTCATTCCTTTAGGAAAAACTAACTTTAATTTAACATCGTAAATTAATGATGTTGATATACTAGCCAGTTCGTATTGACGTATTTTTTTTTTTTTTTAATACCATATATTGATTGAGATTATCACCATCATTGATTAAAATCATATCATTATTTTTTTTTTTTTTTTATTATCTACTTTATACATTTTTAATAAAGCAATTTTCTTATAGATTATTGGATCTTCTTCTATAGCAAAAAATACGTTATATTCAAGTACTTATAACAAAATTTCGTTGTATGGATACAACGAATTTTGGATATAACGAAGTAATTTGTTAGGTCCCGAGAAATACGTTATAAGCATGTTTCACTGTAATATTGCCAGGGGTGTCAACAAGTCTAAATTGAAAATCCTGAAAAAGTCGGGGGTTTGGGGGCTGCAGGTCCCCATTGGGGTCAAGAGGCAAAGCCCCAGTGGGCGGTCTAGGGGGGGGGGGGGGGGCAAAGTCCCCCAGGAAAAATTGAATTTCAGCATTTTAAGATGCACTAGAAACAATTTCCCCAGACACTTCACCAATATTTTTTAAATGTATTTGTCATAATTTTTGCCATTTTCACTCTGACCAAGTCACATCATTTTTTTCCTTTTATCGTATGTGTTGCATTTAATCAAGAGTTATAAAAGTTGAGTGTAAACAATTAAAGATAAAACAACTTTTAAAACAAGCACATAACTTTAAAACAACCTCAAAAAGACAATTTGAGAATTGTAATAAGTAGACGCTTGCAAGAATTGCGCCTGATGATTTTGATCACGATGCTAAAACCTATACCAGTACTGGTCGCACTTATACCGTTTTTCGTCGATTTCTTTTTCATGATACTCATGTTAACTACAGTATCTTCCCGTCAATAACTTAACTGAGTTTTTTTTTTAAAACAACTGAACCCTTACCCCCCCCCCCCCCCCTTCTAATTTTTTTATCGAATTTGCACTTATCTCAGAAATGACTTTTTGGCAGAAAATCAGGAATTCGGGGTTAATCCAGACTTTTGACACCCCTGTATTGATAATGAAATGTTTTATTTTTACAAAAGCAAACATCATTTCATGTTACGAAAAAAAGTACAATAGTAAGGAAAATAACTTGTAACAAGGCAGTCTGAAAGACAGCTATACCCCCTTCCGCAGTGAACCTTTTACAGCCACGACCTTGATGTTATGCCATGCATATCATAAGCACAAAGTCTCATGATGGTGATTATTTGTGCCATGTTATTTGAAATCCTCCATAAAGTAAACTAGAACTTCGCAAGTCGGATGTGTCGCCTTGTGAACAATATAGTTTAGGAGAAATGGCCACGACAAAAATGAAATTTGAAAATCAACAAAGGGCAATAACTCAAAAAATAAGAAATGCAGAGAAGCAGTCTCTGTGCACTGCACTTCTTATCTATAAGATCTATCATCCTATTAAGTTTCAAGTCTAAAGCTTTTGTAATTTATGAGAAATGGCCTGGACAAAAATAAAGTATTAAAATTAACAAAGGGCAATAACTCAAATAAGAAGAAATGCAGAGAAGCAGTTCTTGTGCACTGCACTTCTTCTTAATAAGATCTATCATCCTATGAAGTTTCATGTCCATAGCTTTTTAATATACTTTAGGAGAAATGGCCTGGACAAAAATAAAGTATTAAAATTAACAAAGGGCAATAACTCAAAAAATAAGAAATGCAGAGTACCATTTCTTGTGCACTGCACTTCTTCTTAATGAGATCTATCATCCTATGAAGTTTCAAGTCCATAGCTTTTATACTTTAGGAGAAATGGCCCGGACAAAAATAAAGTATGAAAATTAACAAAGGGCAATAACTCAAAAAATAAGAAATGCAGAGTACCAGTTCTTGTGCACTGCACTTCTTCTTAATGAGATCTATCATCCTATGAAGTTTCAAGTCCATAGATTTTATATTTAAGGAGAAATGGCCTGGACAAAAATAAAGTACGAAAATTAACAAAGGGCAATAACTCAAAAAATAAGAAGTGCAGAGTACCCGTTCTTGTGCACTGCGCACTGCACTTCGGGTCATTATAAGAAGCATGCATACCAAGTTTGAAGTTAATCCAACTAATAATGACTGACTTGTGCTCCGGACAAGTTTTAGGGGACGCCGACAACGACGCCACAGACAAAAGTAACCCCTATATGTCGCCTTTTTCAAGGCGACACAAAAAAAGTTATGGAGAACATATAACCTTGACATTGGGGGTAGCAACCTGGATGTTGAACTTTGCAGATTGTGTCATGGTGACGATCATTTTAAAACCTTTGAATTGTCAATAAGTTAAAGTCAGCGGACATGAAAAATAGATGTTTTTTACATTAGACCTTTGAGCATGACCCTGACCTTCAGAGTTGTGACTTGATTATTATGCTCTGCCAATGGTGTCATAATGGTGATCATTTCTGCCAAGTTATCTTAACCAGAGGGCCATGATGGCCCTAAAATCCCTCACCTGTATATAGGCTCCAGGGCAAAGGCCAATTTTAAAGCAGGGGCTTTTATTCGAACAAATTTGGTAGACAACAATAAGATGTTTCTTGATAAATATCTAACTCTTTGGGGGTTTTTATAAGAAGATTTTTTAAGTTTTTATTATAATTCATACATATAGGGAAAAACAATTACCCCCCCACCCCCTCGAAGGGGCCAATTTTAACCCCAGGGCTTTTATTTTAACAAACTTGGTAGACACTCACTGGAAGATATTTCATGCTTAGTATCTAAACTCTAGCTCTTTGGGTTTTTTATTAGAAGATTTTTTAAGTTTTTACTATACACATATAAGGAAAATCAATGACCCCTGGGGCCGGGCCAATTTTTACACAAGGGCCTAATTTGAACAAACTTGGTAGACACCCATTAGAAGATGTTTCATGCTAAATATTTTAGCTCTAGCTCTTTGGGGTTTTTAAAAGAATATTTTTTGAAGTTTTTACTATATACATAAAGGGAAAAACAATGACCATCTGGGGTGGGGCCATTTTTTACCCCATGGCATTTATTTGAATAAACTTTGTAGACACTGACTAGATGATGTTTCATTCAAAATATTTAAACTCTTAACTGTTTCGGTTTTCTAACAGAACATATTTTAAGTCTTTTCTTTCAGTTGCCATGGCAACCAGAGTTCTGCTTGGAATTAATTTCTTTGAACAATTTTTAAAGTTGACTACCAAAGAAATATTCCTGTGAAGTTTGGATGAAATTGGCTTAGCGGTGAAATTGGCTTAGCTGTTTATGAGGAGATGTCATTTAAAGTAAAAGTTAGACTTTTTATTATGAAATGAAGAGTTTTTAACATTTGACCTTTAAGTGTGACCTTGACCTTGTAAGGAAAATCAGTACCTCCGGGCGGGGCCAATTTTGATCTCAGTGCTTTTATTTTAACAAACTTGGTAGACACTCACCAGAAGATGTTTAATGCTTAATATCTAAGCTCTATCTCTTTGGGTTTTTTAAAGAAGATTTTTAAGTTTTTTCTATATACATATAAGGTAAAGCAATGACCCCCCTGGGGCGGGGCCAATTTTGACCCCCAGGGCTTTTATTTGAACAAACTTGATAGACACCCACTAGAAGATGTTCATGCCAAATATTTAAGCTCTAGCTCTTTCGTTTTTTTAAAAGAAGATTTTTAAGTTTTTACTATATAAATATAAGGAAAATCAATGACCCTACCCCCCCTCTCCCCCCGTGCAGGGCCAATTTTGACCCTGGGACTTTTATTTGAACAAACTTGGTAGACACTTATTCGACAATGTTTCATGCCAAATATTTAAGCCCTCATTCTTTCTGTTTTTTAAAGAAGATTTTTAAAGTTTTTACTATATACAT